TACGCGAATCAGAAGCTATAGATTACACATATTCTCGTTTGAATTTTAATTATATCTGCGGCGCAGATGAAATAGGATATCGTTCAGTGTTGCCAGAAGTAGCAAAATTTCGCTACGTCGTCGGATTTTAGCTCTTGAAGAAGTGGATAAGCCCCTTTATTTAAGAATCAAAATTTGTGTATGGTAATATTTAATCATACTCTATATTTATTTAAGATTTTTTTTATAAAACCGATTTATTTTATTGATTTTTTTTAAATTTCAATTCATTTATTAATTTTGTTTTAAAATTAGTTCATCATTTGGCAACATTGGCGTTCGTATTGTTTACATTTTAACTTGTATCAATTACAATTAGAGTTTTTTTCTTACTTTTTAGCTTTAAATTTGTTTATTTCTTATAGTATGTGATAGTGTTTATATTGAAAATGAAATCTGCGAAAAAGTCCCCAGCAAATTGCAATCTATATGGTGTTAATGTCAAAATCAAAACTTTATTCATTATTTTCCAAGGGCAAGTCGTAAAATTTATTTTTTTCGATAAATGGATATCTACAAATTCACAATATTGAAATTTTGCAAAACTTTGTTTAGAATCAAACTGTAATCTGATTTGTGACGGTTTTATTACCATTTACATGTATACAAAGTACTACATAATTCACTTCATAATATAAGAAGTCTAGTACATGGGCGAAGTTATGTCATCAGATCTGGGGGGGCTAAAGCCCTAGCCCTAGTCATATAATATATAATAGTTCTAGAGGTATACTGAAGTTAAGTAAAAAAATTTTGTCGAATCTATGAAAATGGATAAAATATCATATATAATATATATTTGTGTCAAGTAAAAAACCTGAAAAATTTTCATCACAATAATTCATTAAAAAAATTCCTCATTTTCGCAGTCATGAAATAGTAGTTTGTGCAACAAGAGTAGATATGGACAATTCACTCGAGTTGTACAGTATATTTTTTCTATGAACCACTAAGGAACATATAAAAATTTACAAAATTATTTTAGGTTTAGACAAAATAACTAATTTTAAAATAATTTATGAATTTCATTAATTTATAAAATATAATAAACATAAAATAAGCCCCTTGTCCATATTCGAACCCAGGCTATTCGCGTGGAATCTAGATGCTCTGTCCTCTGCTCCACTCCACTCCAGGTTTTTAGTTTTAATACTCGTAATTAAATCAGTTTCATACAATTTAATTAAAATTAATTTTTTTTAAATGCCATTTTTTATCGATTCTAAACAAAAATAACTAATTTTAACGTATGCAATCTTAATGACTAAAAAATATACTGACAGAACTTAAAATTTTAAAAATAATAGTAGTTGGGTGTCCAAAATATGAACTGTGATTGGTGGATTTAATTTTTTTGCAGTTTTCTCACTATGTTATATTGGGAATGGGGTGTTAATACACTGCGACCTAAAAGATCTATTGTGTCCCCTTCTGTCGCTTATGCAGCACGGAAATGTCTCAATGCCTATAACGATCCTTCCAATTATATTTTCTCAAGGAAGTGTAGGATTTGGAGTGGCTTCAAGTTAGGTAAATTTCCCTCTTCTATTTTATATGCTCCTAGGTATAGTGCCCTTTGATTCTGGAGTGCTACACATTCAGTTAGAATGTGAACGAAGGTTTCGTCCTCCTCACAGAATCTGCAGTCACTATCTTCCTAATCTCAGTTTACTAAGGTGTCCTTTTAGTTGGCATTGTCCAGTAAGGATCCCTGTTACAAGTGTTCTCACTACTAGAAAAATGTATAATATGAAAACAGCTTCAAATACAATCTGGTTAATGTGGAACATCCCATTCGACACGTTCGAATGCTATTCCTCTCCTCGTTTAACTACCTGGTTTGTCAGGTCCGACCGAAATATGGTTTTATAACCGAAACAGAAACTAAATTTCGGCTCCTTTCTTAGTTTCGGCCGAAACCGAAACAGAAACAAGAACTTTGTTTTAAGGCAATCTCTTATTGAAATTTGCAGTATCTTATTATAATCCTTGTTTTAGACTAATTAACTCGTATTATAAATTTAAGCTACATTTACTTATTACCTATTTATTTTTGGTGATCAAAAGTAGCCATTAATAAATTTATAGACATTGTTTTTTTATTACTTTTAAAATTAAAAAAAAAAGTAAGTGAATTACAAAGTATCAATCATTTCTGCATCTGTAGTAGATATTTTGTAACAAAAAATAGTATTATATAAATTTAGTCGAAGACGATGGATAAGTTTCTTAAAATATGCGTGAGTGAGCAAAAATTTACTGATAATAATTTAAGTACATGTGGTATTGGGTAAAAAAATTTTACACCAAAATATCCAAATTTCAAAACTTGACAGACATACCTACATTAAAACGACTAAAATCAAATTTTCAAAGCTGGCCATACCACAGCGTATGAAACATATATTTTTAAATGCTGTGGCCATACAATGACCATTTGTCATATTTGAAGTCGTTTAGTTGACGCAAAAAACCTCATTATTATTTTACTTAAAATAAATGTAGTGTATTTCTACCTAGTTATAATTGGTATTAAATAAAATATTAACCACTAAAACGGCAAATTTTTAATCACACTATCGCGTTGCGTCGTAATATTTTATGCATGGAAGGGCTTCTCAACTTTCAAAAAAATTTTCAGTATAATTTCGTTTAGGGTACCCACCAATAGGAAAATTACCGGAAATTTTTCTGGTTGTCATGGAAACGTTTTAAAATAACAGCATTTGATCGGCTATAAAATAGAGGTGTAAAATTACAATATAATCTATTACGTGACAAATTTTCAAACCCGGGAAAATAAAAGCAAAAATATTATATTTTTTCGATTTTGAAGATGTTACCAGACTCATTTGCCAATTTCGTAAATCAGCCAGACATTATTAACATTTCATGATTGTATCAATTTATATGCTAAATTTTCTGCCACACTCACTTTCCACTATCTGAGATAATCCAAACTACTATTTTTATAAACTCTTTGTTCTAGTTTAGTAAATGTATAATATTTATGACTGGGAAAATAAGAGTCAGACTCAAAAATTTTGTTTTTTGTTGCTCATATACACCTACTGGAAAAATGAGTAGGTACGAAAAAAATTCACTGCCTCCTGAGCTAAATATAAAATTGCAGAATCAATCAAATGGCACGATTCTTTTTATTTTTTAATTTCTGTTCTAAAATCTGAAATGTATGGGTGGATGTGCGATAAATGTTCGAATTATTTTTGGGGGGGCTAATTTGGTTTTTGGGGGGGTTTAGCCCCCCCAAGCCCTCCCCTAACTTCGCCCATACTCTAGTAAGATTTTTAATTAAGTTCATCAATAATAAACGTTTGGTACCTGAAATGTCCTTTAAACCACATAATAAAACATGTCCTGGGTTTAGTGAATACATATTTCTAGATGTTCTTGTAGCAACCAATAGGTGAATATTTTCAACAAATTAAGCCATACACATGATAAAATATTATATTTATGACGAAAGCACAAGACTTAAACTTAAATTAACACTAAATGAAACTCAAAAACACTATTACAATGAGAATATTATCTAAAAATAGTTTAAAAAATCACAAATACAAAATCCGCACAAAACAGGTGACAAATGACAGGCGCGCGAAAATTAATTTGAATCGCGAACAGGATGAAATCGGGGCTCGGGGAATCACAAGCAACGAAGTTATAAATAGGGGAATTTTAGAAAGTATCAGATAATTTCTAATTCGATAGTTTTACAGTTATAGAGTTTTTATTATTAAAATTTTGTAAAAAATGTCCCTTTATTATTATTTAGTTTTTTCTTTAAAAAATATTAATTATATAATGGGTTTTGTTTTTTATTTTTTACGATTAAAATTTGATTCTTAAGTTTATCTTTTTTAAAAATGTTTTTAGAATTTTTTGTTTCTTTTTAGTATTAAAAACTTTGTTTCTACAAATTTAGTTTGATGAGATCTACCGATTTTTTCCGGTAATTCTACCGATTTTCTGTTGACAGGGCCTGGTAACAATGGCGACTAGCGTTAGCGGTCTCTACCTGGTATTTGTATGTTCCTATTATAACTTGTTTAATTAATTGGACTACCGCTATTGGAAGTAGTATTCTATTAATATACTTTTAAAACAGTCTTTTACATAACACACAGTTCACAAATAACATTTATTAACTATGACATTTTTTGTTTGCTAAGAGAATTATTCACATTGCCTTTGAATTTAATTATTGTGTTACAAAATACTGGCATGGCGGACCATGGCTGCTTGGCTCCTGCGAAAGCTGTGTATGAAAGCTCCTTTCTTATCGAAGGTATGTAAAGCTCTAATCTAAAATGATGAAAAATGCAACTGTTTTATGTTTTCAACTGACTAACCAGTTATCTTTTCGAGTGCCAGCTTCGCTTCTTTTGTGGAACATTTTTATTGACTCTGAAGTAACGCTTATATCACAAAAGGGTGACTTAATCACTTTGTCAATTTCAGCGTTGTAGCGCAATACTGCAGGAGAGGCGCAATATGCAATGCTGCAGTTCTGGCGCAAGTTACAATGTTGAGTGTGTCTCAACAGTAAGGTATAGTTTCCGTGTTAAAAAGTTCGTAGCTGTATTTATAAAAAATGTATGGTATATTTTTTCATGATCAGAACCCTTGGATATATGATATATGTGTTGAATATATGAAAAAGTCAATTATTACCCTAGACTGAAACTTTTCCTTGTGGTGGGACATCGATAAAACCAAAACGATTTCTGTTCCAAACACTGTTTGCAATCTTACAAGCAAACAAAACGTGGGGTGGCTGTGGCAGAACACTTTTTACGGAAAGAACTCTCGGAACATAGGTGTATTCATTCTTATAGTAAATACTTGTATACGTCTCCGACTTCTTGCACCTAATACAGAGGCTCGAATTTTGAACACAGTGTATACAGAATATGGCTGTTTTCAGTAAATTAAATTAC